GTTTTCCTTTAAAGTATAGGTATACTTCCTGAACATTATTTATCATGTGACATAAGTTTTTTCACACACAACAATTCATCCTTTCTAGCCCTGACACACAGCACACACAGCAGAGTGTCGCCATCTTGGATGTGGCAGAACCGCCCGTAAAGTAATTAAAGAAAATGGACTGAACTCCATAAAGCGCCTTTCTACGACGTGCTTTAACTAATGCATCTTATTCACCCATTCACACACACATTAATATATCTGGGAAACAAATAGGCACCAAAAAGAAAACGTCTGTAACTTTTAAAGTGATGCTTATAAATGTTTACTCCTTATGTTTAGGATATAAGGAAGCACCAGACCAGCGTCTGTTCTTTTAATGCTTATAAACATCAAACGTGCTAACTGATCTTCAAAGCTGAGCATTGATAGGCTGCCTGAAGGGGGGGAGAAAGGAGAGAAGGGGGGGAAAAAAGGGGCTGGAGTGTCAGAAGGATGAGCATTTTCTAGCTCTACTGGGTGAAAATCTGTTGAACCTGCAGAAAAACACATTGTTGATCGTTTTCTGTAGTCTGGGAATATAAATCTGATTTATGATGAATTGAAACTGGGTCAACTGTGAGCTTCATGGACTGAGTTAGTGATGCAGGTTACCCTAAAACAGTCCATTGATAACAAAGAACTGCCTTCTGCAGCCTCTTTGTTCCACACACAATGCCTGCCAGCACACAGCTGTGATCGTATAGTGGCGAGACTAGATTGAAATCGGGAAATTGTAAATTTCTGAACCCAAATAAAATTGCTCCACAACGCCACCTTGGGAATTTCACCCAAGGAATATTACTCTCCTTTTTGATAGGACACACAAGTTCGCTCATGCTTGGATTAAGACATCTGAGACAATTTTAAAATGTACAAACAGCCTTTTATTATATGCTTCTCAAAATATTCTTTTTAAAACCAATTCTTTATAACACTAAAGGAAAATAAAAAAAAGTAACTACAGTAGCTGAGGTTACCGGCGGAAGGGGGCCACTATAGGACGGTAACACAGCAAACAAAACCCTTGTAAAGCACCAGACGCAGTGAGACAACCCAAACTCAGGAATCACGGCACACAAAAAAAAGAAGACCGTCACCATACCAACACCGCCGCCGGGCCTCAGCACTGCCAACAGAGAGAAAAAGAACTATTAATAGGGACAACAATCCAAAATGTACAACAAAAAGAAAACAATATCAGCCTAAATAATTATATCAAACCAAAACGGCTGGAACAAAAAGAAAAATTAAAATATCTGAACCTGGTGCGACCCTCTGGCCGCGCTGCAACAGGAGGTGAACTGAGCGTGCCGGTGCCACACGCCAAACATCGCTTCAATTAGGGCGTGTAGCCGCCACCACAATCCCAGGTTGATGATGCGCAGAATCCGGGATATCAACAGAGCAGCAATGGTAATATGGGGAGACCTGTAAAAGTTAATTAGTCACTACTTAACAGAACTGCAACAAATTGGCGCTAACAATGAGCGTTACTTCTTACCTCCCAATCCAGACAAACTCATGTATGCACACACACACACACACACTCACAAACCAGCGACGAGGAGGAGAGCCGCACAGTAGCGTTTTGCCTATGATCACACGTGGATTTAGATCTTCTGTGAATGAGCAGCAATACAAAGAGAGGGGAGACCTACCACCACAAGATCAGAGCAGCATGCACCTGATGTTATGCTTTTTGTGTCCGATTGGGCGCAGCAGCTTCTTATACACCACGCCCACTTTGACCAACCGGAACCTCGCACCTGAAAGCTATTTGTATAGCAAAACATATATTTCTATACCACTACATAACCAATAGGACTTGGTTTTGTCCAGTCCTCCTTTTGAGGGGTGTGCCCAGCCCAGGAGACAAAGACCCATCACCCCCAGACTTCAGGGCTCTTTACCCACTGAGACCCTGAGAGAGAAGTTTCCTCTGTGAAGAGCCCAGCGCTGAAATACTTTACCTGTGACCCAATAAATGTCCATTTTTACTCTAGATCGACTCTGGTTTATTCTCAGGTTTCCAACTAAAGAATCGGGTTAACAACATTTTGTATCTTTGGGTGTTTTCTTATTTCTACACGTACACAAAAGCACTTTAATAATACATGTGACGATGATATTTGCCTCAATTTTTATCTTCGTCATGTATTCAATTGACGTTCAATATCAAACGTCTTTTTTTAAGCTGTCTCCGTTCTCCAAAACAAACTACTTCTACAGCGACCCAGTCACGTCATTCCTCGTTTGTTGCTAGGTTGGGTCAAAGTCAAAGCTGTGGCGTCATTTTTATGTTGCACAAGTTTCTGCGAGCGAGCGCCTGCTTTGTTCTCAAAGGATAACTCTGCTCGCGCGGAGCTGTTTTGCTCGATCAGCAGATTTCTGCTGGGGGCGGAAACCAAGGAGGGCACTGACCCTCTTATGATTGGTCACTCTCGTCGTGATTACAACCCCGGGGGACGCCCTTGTACCTTGATTGACAGCTCCCATTACAGGAAGCACGGAGTCGGGTTAACTTACCACTGAAGAAGAGTGGGGTAAGTAAATGAATTAGAATGAGATTTCTAATACACATACAATGTCTCTGACTGCGTATAAAATGCTGCGCAGGTCATAGTTAAATCAATCTAATTCATTTACTTTCCCCACTCTTCTTCAGTGGTAAGTTAACCCAACTCCGTGCTTCCTGTAATGGGAGCTTTCAATCAAGGTACAAGGACGTCCCTGTCACGACGAAAGTGACCAATCATAAGAGGGTCAGTGTCCTCCTTGGTTTCCGCCCCCAAATTGTCAAAAGTCCTGTGGACTGGAGCGAGCAGAAATCAGCGGATCGAGCAAAACAGCGCTCCGCGAGCAGAAATCCACTGTGCGTGAGCAGAATTCCACTGCGCGAGCAGAGTTATCCTTTTAGAACAAACCAGGCGCTTGCTCGCAGAAACTTGTGCAACTCTCGGTTGTTGAATTTGTGCGCGGGAAGGTTAATTTTTGCGCGTGTGAAATAATATAATGTGCTCCTGAGAATGTCTTACACGCTCACAACATTTGACATAAAAATGACAACATTTGCCATCAAAATGAGGCCATACAAAGCTGTCTGCCTGGTGAGCCTAGCAACCCAAGTCGAGTACGCTGTTGCTTTAAGCAATCAGATTTAACGTTGATCACCTGTGTGTGTTCACTCCGCTGATTAGATGATAAGGTACATAGCGTACCAGCCAACTTTATCAAACTATAAATAGAGTACGCTATTTTAGTATTTCGTGTGCGATTTACTGATTTGCTCTGCAACTCGCTGATTTGCTGCGCGATTTACAAACAAGCCCCTTTAAAAACGGACTTTTCAAGAAAAGTAAGTGAGTAAAATTTTGTTATCTTCCTACATAATATAACGAGTTTCTAAGGTTTTTATTGATGTTTTTTCCCTGTATTGTTTTGGCTCTTTACAGAATGTCTATCAAGGAGGTCCTGCTCGACAGGGTACACGGCCCCTATTTCAGCCCCCCCCCACTTAAGATCCGCGTCTTGGCTACCAGGGAACAGACGCGGGTCCTGTCCTGGGAGTTCGGGGAGACGACGGCCACCCCAAAAACGGTCAAACTTAACAAAGTGGTGGCCATCAGTGATGGCCACCACTTTGTTAAGATAACACTCTTTGAGGAATTTTCCTCAAAAGTGAGAACTGACTGTTCATATCTTATGAGGGGTTACTCTCTTAAGGGCCAGTCGCCCCCGTATATTATATGGGTCACCAGGGACACCCAGTTCCTCAGAACGTCTCCTGTGGCGGTCTCAGAAGAGCTGGCTGCGGGGGCGCTGTCCGCCCTGTGTCCACCATCAAGCCTGATTAATATTGGGCAGGTCCGAGGTTCAAAAAGACTGGTAACAGTCGAGGGCCAGGTGGTTGAGGTAATTACATTTAAATGTCCATATTTCTATTTATGAAGGCATTTTAAAGTAGATGCAAGACAATTAAGTACATATCAGAGAAAACTTTCCTAAATCAGCTGTAATATCAGGAATCGCCTTTCAAGACACAGCTGAGCTTCTATGTGCTTCATTTCAGGAACAGAAAGAGGTCGTTTGCCATGTTCATTTTTTGTTTTTACATGTCTTTAATTGTTCTTTTTAGATCTCTGCTGTTAAAAAGATTTTGGTGGGGAGGGAGCAAGTCCCCAAAATGATTGTGCGCCTTCAGAAGGTAAAGAGAGCTACTTGGATTGATTTCTTACCACTACTGTGTCATATGTCTGACCAGAACTGTTTGTGTGAACAGGGTGACGACCAAATTGAGGTGGCGCTGTGGAGGGAGGCAGCTGTCCACATGGTGGAGCTGGGGGCGGGAGCGCAGCCTTTGTGGACCAGCTGCAGTCTACAACGTTCACTGCCGTTGAGGTAAGCATGAATGTTTAGCTTTGCTGCAATATATTACAGACATGCTGATTTTGTATTTTCTTTACAGATCCAGGCTAATTCGGCTAAAGAGCTGAATACTGTGGAGGTTCCAGCTCATTGTGAGCTTCATCAGCCTCCAGGCTGCTTTCCTCTGGTTATGGAGCTTTGGGCTCCTCCTCTCCCAGCTCATGCTCAGACTCCTCCA